TAGTCCATAATAAACATACCTGCAAAGGAGAATAACAAGAAACAACGTGGCTCGAGACGCGTAAACGCCGGCCTCAGAAAGTATTTCCGGTGAACGGAAATCTTCCCCCAGGATATAACGAGCCCTTCGACCATGAGTCGGAACCAGAACTACGAGGGAAATCAACATCATAATAATCCAGCACAAGCTTTTTGATGAAAACATTTTTGTGAAGTTGTTTTTCCTTTCTTTTTTCTCCAAGAAGACAAAGTGTGCATGTGTGTATTTTATGAGGGATTATTGCTCCATATAAAAAGGAAGAATATGGGTGTTGGTGATCCTAATAAATAGGAGCAAATAATGGAAAACATCCGTTCCTAATTTTACTTTGGCTCCACCCAATTAATTAGAGTGTTAATTACCCTTTCGGTTACTCAAGAGTGATTTGTTACAAATATTTTGTTTATTTGAAATAACAAAATTTCCAACAATCCCCCACATATTTCAAATAAACATTTTACAATTTTGAATACACTAAAATAAAAATATGCTAGATTAAAGGAATGAGACTTTAAGTTTGGTGTCCGTAGACTATGAACCAAACCGAGACGATTAAGTCTTTATAAACCGAGCTTTTGGTGAAGCATATAGTTTCTATGAACCAAAAAGCTACTATGGTAAATCAGAGTCTTAATGGTCATGTCTCACCCCGCACAACTCCTCGCGTTAACGCCGTGGTGTGCCTTTCGGCCGTGCGCGTGCCTGGTTTTCGTGAGTGCTATAGAAGCGTTTTCAAGGCTTCATAGAGGCGGCCCCACCTCACACTCATATAGGTGATCTCATCAAGTGTGTTCTGCACTTAACACACCTCCCATAAGGGCTATGAAAATCATTAAGAGTTTTAGCTCAACCTCACAGAGAAATGCAGTCTAGCCTTCCACACCATAGAAAGGGACATTTAATAAGGCTAGCAGAACAAATAGAAGACTTGTTATTACACATATGAACTTGCTTCATGGGATCTCCAATCACACAAGTTGGGTTACCATCCCTATTTGTAGTCAAAGTGACACTAGTCCCATTTCCCTCGATGTTTCGATTATCATTTTTCGTCCTAGGGCTTTCGTCAAAGGATCCACTAGATTACCTTCTGACCTCACAAAATTAATGGACACAATTCCATTCTTCAATAATCGTTTAATGACTTTGTGTCTTAAACGAATGTGTCTATTCTTCCCATTATAACACATTTTCTTAGCAGTATTTATTGCACTTTGGCAATCACAAAGAATAGACACCGATGGTGTTGGTTTTGTACCAACCGGAATTTCTGCTAAGAAATTTTTCAACCACTCCGCCTCACTACTAGTCACTTCCAAAGCTATAAGCTCGGACTCCATAGTGGATCTAGAAATGAGAGATTGTTTGGTTGATTTCCACATAATAGCACCACCTCCAAGGGTGAATATATATCATGTATTGGATTTAATCTCATCTGAGTCAGAGACCCAGTTAGCATCGCTGTATCCCTCTAGTACAGCGGGTAAACCTCTATAAAATATACCATAATTCATGGTACCTCTCAAATATCTCAGTAACCGCCTCAACGCGGTCCAATGATCCCCATTTGGATTATGGGTATATCGGCTCAATCTTCCGACAGCTTAGGCTATGTTGGGTCTCGTATAGTTCATTAAATGTAATAAACTCCCAATTATTTGTGCATATTCATATTGAGCCTCAGGATCACCTCTATGTTTTGCCATATGTGTATTAGAGTCATAAGGGGTATTCACAGGTGTGACATTGAAATGTCCAAACTTCTTTAGAAGTTTTTCAGCATAATGCTCTTGAGGTAGTATGATACCACCATCCTTACTTATGACTTTAATACCTAAAATCAGTTTTGCTTCACCCAAATCTTTCATATCAAATTTTGAAGCAAGAAATGATTTTGTCTCATTTATTAGCTCAAGGTTGCTACTAAAAATTAACATGTCATCCACATACAAGCAAATAATAATGCACACACCATTTTTTATTTTAGTGTATACACACTTATCTACTTCAAGTGAGGTACAACCATGAGCAAATAATACTTCATCAAATTTTTCATTCCATTGTTTTGGAGCTTGTTTCATACCATACAAAGATTTGATCAACTTACACACTATGTGTTCCTGTCCATAAACTACATGACCCTCCGGTTGCACCATATAAATTTCTTCCTCTAATTCACCATTTTAAAACGTTGTTTTAACATCTATTTGATGTATAAGAAGTTTGTGAATAGAAGCCAAAGCAATTAAAGTTCTGATGGAAGATATTCTCGTTACCGGTGCAAAAGTATCAAAATAATCAACATCTTGTTTTTGAGAAAATCCTTTTGCCACAAGCCTCGCTTTATATTTGTCAATTGAAGCATTCGGATTAAATTTCTTTTTAAAAATCCATTTACATCCGATTGGTTTGCACCCTTTAGGCAAATCAGTTAAAATCCAAGTTTTATTTTTCTGGATAGAATCAATTTCATTTTGAATTGCCTCAAGCCAAAAAGGAGCCTCTTTTGATGAAATAGCTTGTGAATAAGTAAAAGGTTCATCATTAACAAGATATGTATAAAAATCATTTCCAAAAGATTTTTCTATTCTTGGCCTCTTACTTCTTCTCAAATTAGAGGGTTCATCATTAAAAGTTTCATTTTCTTTTAATAGCTCACTTTCACGATACGGTGCAACGGTCTTGTATTCTGGTTTTAAAGGAAACAAACTCTCAAAAAATTCAGCATTTTTTGTTTCAATAATAGTGTTGCAATTAAGCACATCACTTTTCAAAACAAGAAATCTATAAGCAGCACTAGAGTTAGCATAACCAATAAACATGCAATCAGATGTCTTAGAACCAATTTTCCTCTTCTTAGGATCAGGCAATACGACTTTAGCCAAACACCCCCACACTTTCAAATATTTCAAATTAGGTGCATGACCTTTCCACAATTCATAGGGTGTTCTCTTATTATGCTTATAAGGAATTCTGTTTTGTAAGTGACAAGCAGAAAGAATAGCCTCCCCCCACAAATTATCTGGCGCACCAGAACTAATTAAAAGAGCATTCATCATTTCTTTTAATGTTCTATTTTTTCTTTCAGCCATTCCATTTGATTCAGGCGAATACGGGGGAGTTATCTCATGGATAATACCTTCCCTCTCACAAAAATCATTTATTAAAATATATTCGCCCCCTCTATCCGATCTCACTCTCTTAATTTTCTTATTCAATTGATTTTCCACCTCGGATTTATACACTAAAAATTTATCAAAAGCCTCATCTTTACTTTTAAGCAAATAAACTTTAGTGTATCTCGAAAAATCATCTATAAAGGTGACATAAAATTTATTACCACCTCTAATCATGGTATTTTTTAAATCACCTAAATCCGTGTGAATTAATTCAAGCAATTCCGATTCCCTATGTGTGGTAGGACATGATTTTTTGGTTTGTTTTGATTCAACACAAATATCACATTTTTCTAGTGTCAATTTCTTTCCACTAGAAATCAAGCCACGATCATGCAACAATTTAATATAAGAATCACTCACATGTCCTAATCTAGCATGCCACACATCATATGAATCAATCAAATAAGCAGAAGCATTGTCACGCATTAATTTTGGAATACTAAGCACATAACATACATTCTTACAATAGCCTTTGCCCACAAAAACATCATTTTTGGTCATAACAATTTTGTTACAATTAAAAGATACTTTAATCCCAGCTTTTACCAAGAGAGAAACAGAAACTAAATTAGTTCGAATCTCAGGCACATAAAGTACGACATTTAGTGATAAAGTTTTCCCCAATGTGAGTTTAAGTAGAACTTTCCCTTTACCGTGCACTTTTGCGGTTTTTGAGTCCGCTAGGTACACGAGCTCTTCGTCATCTCCCATAGTAGAACTATAAGAGGTACAAGCGCTTTTGTTTTTACAAATGTGCTTGGTAGCCCCGGAGTCTACCATCCATTCATTCACATCATTTATTTTACAACTTTGAGAAAAAACCACAATAAAAATATCATCACTTTTAATCAATTTTAATTTTGATTTAAGTTGGTTGTTGTTTTTCATAGTTGTCTTTTTATCACATAAAATGACATACTTGTATGTTATAATAAGTAGGATTAAAATAAGGCTTATTGAGAATAGGATAACACATAAAATAATCACAAAATGGGATAAAGTAATGCAGGTAGATTCACGTAGGTACAAGATTGCCAAGACTAAAGCAATTAAAAGAAATACCAAGTTTGGCAGCCTTATTGTGAACAAAGATTTCAGCGGACCATAAAATTGGAATCGCATGAGCGCAGTTAACATTGATCGCAGCAGTGGTCCTTGTTCAATACTTTCTGAGACTGTTGGAGATATTCCTTCATCGTCACTTGCTCCTGGCTGTCCGGTTCTAGCCGACGGACACGTATAACTCCGGCGAAGAGCTTCTCCCTCTATCTACGGCAAATGGCAGCACCTTGTCCACTCCAGTAATGTGGCTAGTCCATAATAAACATACCTGCAAAGGAGAATAACAAGAAACAACGTGGCTCGAGACGCGTAAACGCCGGCCTCAGAAAGTATTTCCGGTGAACGGAAATCTTCCCCCAGGATATAACGAGCCCTTCGACCATGAGTCGGAACCAGAATTACGAGGGAAATCAACATCATAATAATCCAGCACAAGCTTTTTGATGAAAACATTTTTGTGAAGTTGTTTTTCCTTTCTTTTCACTCCAAGAAGACAAAGTGTGCGTGTGTGTATTTTATGAGGGATTATTGCTCCATATAAAAAGGAAGAATATGGGTGTTGGTGATCCTAATAAATAGGAGCAAATAATGGAAAATATCTGTTCCTAATTTTACTTTGGCTCCACCCAATTAATTAGAGTGTTAATTACCCTTTCGGTTACTCAAGAGTGATTTGTTCAAAATATTTTGTTTATTTGAAATAACAAAATTTCCAACAATCCCCCACATATTTCAAATAAACATTTTACAATTTTGAATACACTAAAATAAAAATATGCTGGATTAAAGGAATGAGATTTTAAGTTTGGTGTCCGTAGACTATGAACCAAACCGAGACGATTAAGTCTTTATAAACCGAGCTTTTGGTGAAGCATATAGTTTCTATGAACCAAAAAGCTACTGTGGTAAATCAAGGTCTTAATGGTCATGTCTCACCCCGCACAACTCCTCGCGTTAACGCCGTGGTGCGCCTTTCGGCCGTGCGCGTGCCTGGTTTTCGTGAGTGCTATAGAAGCGTTGTCAAGGCTTCATAGAGGCGGCCCCACCTCACACTCATATAAGTGATCTCATCAAGTGTGTTCTGCACTTAACACACCACCCATAAGGGCTATGAAAATCATTAAGAGTTTTAGCTCAACTTCACAAAGAAATGCAGTCTAGCCTTCCACACCATAGAAAGGGACATTTAATAAGGCTAGCAGAACAAATAGAAGACTTGTTATTATCCATATGAACTTGCTTCATGGGATCTCCAATCACACAAGTTGGGTTACCATCACTATTTGTAGTCAAAGTGACACTAGTCTCATTTCCCTCGATGTTTCGATTATCATTTTTCGTGGTAGGACTTTCGTCAAAGGATCCGCTAGATTACCTTTGACCTCACAATCTCCTGTTTTACGGATTCGTTGAAACAGAAGCTATATGTAGGCATCTGCATTTCCATCTGCCCCTTTTCATAATCAATGCCGGTGATTTCGATTCCGGCGGAAGTCCGTAATGTTGAGTATTGGTCGCAGGTGAGCTTAAAATCTCTGTCGTTCAAGGAACAGTTCTTATCCCCCACGCCGAATGGGTACGGCACCGTCACATTGCCGCACTTCTCCTGGCACCCGGGCAGAGCTACTCCAGCTCTGCTCGACGCCCCGCTGGCCGACGTGCCAAATCCGATCGCCACCACCAGCGCAGCTGCCATTGCGGCGGCGGCCAACCTCATGCCCTCATTACCACCCTCATCGTTGTCCTCATTACCAACGTCATTATGAGAGGATTTTACTCTGTACTACCGTGGCACAGAGAAAACTTTTACCCCGGAGTACTAATACGTGTCTACGTATTTATTCGTATTGTACGGTCGGTCATCGTGTCATCGTGTCACATGCTTATATTATTGATGATTGCTGCAACGCTGCTGTCATGCGCAGGAGGAAAGCAAAGGCTTTGATTGCTGCGTGGGTGTAACGCAGGCTTCTTACGGGTGAAACTGGCTTCCTGTGGACTGCCATAGCACTCCGTATAATTTGATACTACTATCTCTATCCCATAAAATTTTTCCCACTTTGACTTGGTATAAAGATTAAGAAAGTGGAAATGTATGATTGTTGTTGTGTAAGAAAAAAAGTGAAATGAATGTGAACCACACAAATTTTACAAAATGATAAGTGAGACGATTTTTATGGAACGGAGGGAGTACCATAGTAGTTAATTTCAAACTTTGTCAAATTTAATCATCACGTTGACTAATAAAATAAAAATTGTGTGATAAACTCTTGCATAGACGAAAGAGAGAATTAACTAAAATTACAATTTTTTTACTGAAAAGAGAGTGACAAACTTAGTGAAACATCCAACAAAGAAAATTGATTAAGTTTTAATGGACCGAGAGTATTTACTATGGAGTATTACCGTCCATCCAATTTGATTTCTCTCATTTGACTTTGACACAATTGTTACTAAACTAGTTGAAAAGTAAAAGTTGTTTGTTGAAATTTGAGTAATAATAAAATATAATATTGTAGACCACATGTTTTTTTCAAAAGGAGATGTGACCCTTATTTTGGGATAATCCAAAAATGAAAATAAGACATGTAATCTACTTGTCTGGGTATATTTAAATGCAACATACACCCCTGTTCTCCAATATTTGTCTCTTTAGGAGGTCCTTAAATTGCAAATATTTATAAGTTACATGACCAAATTTACAAGTGGTTAAAGTTGGTTAAGTTGCATGTGAGAGTTGCAGCACTAAAATTGCAAATCTTCCAAAAAATGATAAGAGTAGGTTGACATAAAAGACTTTTATAAAAAGAAAATTAACTGATTGGTAATCTTTCTATATACAAAACGCTGTGGAATGACAGCAAGAGTTTCCCGCCCAATTCCATTCCAAAAACGGGTAGGACGTGCAAAAACGGGTCGGGCCACAATGCATGTGCGATTTGGATGTTTGCATTTAATGTTTGCTGCTTTAGTTCCTTTTTGGATTAGAACCGGGTGCATGCTGACAAAGAGCAATTAATTATATGTAGCAACATGTCTCTTGAAATCTTTATTTTGTAAGATATGAAGGGAGATCTCATATCTTGTAGAATCTCACTTTAAAGTACAACATTAAATGCTATACAACTGACGAGGCAAATTCAAAAGTTTAATTGAAACTCATCGGACAAAAATGTGTGAATACCCGTTAAATCCAGAGCAATATTGTTCTCTAGAGCAGTATAACTAGCACACCACAGTCAGTTAATTTCCCATCCCACACACAACACTCTTCACACTCACAACATATTTCATATTTGATATTTGATATTTCAATGGTAGGAAATAAAGGAATGTATTCATTCCTTAGGGAGGTTAATCACACCAAGACCACTTGGGCTGTGAAGGTGAAAGTAGTCAGGGCTTATGAACTGCCACCACAGGCAAGGTGATACGTTCGTAATTTCCATTTCTATGTTTATGTTTTTAATTAGTTTTGCTTGACTTTTACTTTGGAAATTACACACTTTTGGTGTAATAGATTAGATTGTTAAATTCTTGTAAATAGGTTAGATTAGATATATTCTGAGCTTAAACAGGTTTTGGTCACTCAAAGTACAGTTGGTGAACCCAAAAAGTGAAGAGAAGGTGAAAAAGTTCAAAGACAAAAGAAGATCCTGAATTTTGGTCTATACTCGGTCGAGTATTAGCTATACTCGATCGGGTATTAGGTTGGAACTTCAAATCGGATCAGATCCGAAGACAAAGGAACATGCAGGGAAGATTTTGGCCACGATTCTATGTCTATACCCGATCGGGTAGACCGACATACCCGATCGGATATGCCTTTGAATTACAAAACGAAGATCGGTCGAGTATAGCCCGAATACCACTTTCTAAGCATACTCGACCGGGTATTCATATATACTCGATCGGGTATACACTTAGAAAATAGCCTGAAACCAGTCGAGTATGCCTCGGATCGGGTGTTACACACATACTCGATCGGGTACCATGTATATACCCGATCGAGTACCCGAATCTCATCCCAAAAACCTATAAATACACCTCATTTCCTTCACAAAAAGACATCCAATCCCTTTGTACATCTAAGCTCAGTATAGAATAGCTCTTTCTTTATATTTTTCATCATGTTTAGTCTCCAAATGAGGAGCTAAACTCTTCCATCTTGGTTTTGCTACTTTGAAGCTTAATGACTTTGTAAGTTGTGAGTTATTTTCTTTAATCTTCTTCCTTGAATATTAATTCTTTCTTTCAAAATACTATCTCTATATCAAAGTTGGGGAGTGTTACTAAGATGACAATTAGTTAACATCTTGACATTGGTTATAGTAATAGCTATTTCTTCCTCTATGATAATATTGGGGAGTGTTACTAAGATGACAATTAGTTAACATCTTGATATTAATCATAGTAGGATTCATATATTTTAATATTCTTCCTTGAGTATTGATTAATTCTTATTCATATTTCATGTTAATATCTTAAACATTACTTAAAGTATCAACTAGTATTGTTTCTCATATTAATTATTACTAGAATCAATCGGTTAATACGCTTGTTATTAATCCGGTTCTTTCAACGGTAGTAAACTTGGAATATTAATGCATGCATCTCATGGTTAATATGCCAAGGGGAATTAATTATATTGATTAAACCAATAAACCGCTTGTGTTGAGGTTATCAATCTCAATCGTTTTCATCTTAAGTTTATTGCTACTATCAAGTTAATATACGGCGCTTGTTCTATATTGATTCGATAGTAAGTTTTATTAATGAACGCATCTCGTTATTAATAACTACCCTCGATGAATTGGATATACTCCTCGATTGAGTATTCGAGAGGAAGATAGTTAAAGATATAACCGGGATCGACGAACATTTCATTAAGTGGATAAAAGCAAAACCAAGTCTCCATCTCATTGAATTAAACTCATATAGGTCGTTTATCTTAGTGTTGTTAAAACAAACAAATCTAAATCCCCCTTTTGTTACTACTTTTATAAAAGAAAAGTATTCCTTTCCCTGTGGATACGAACCTTACTACACTATACTACGTATTAGTGTTGTATTGATTAATTATTTTGAGTGCACCTAACGACAGGTGCACGTCAAATTTGGCACCGTTGCCGGGGAAAGGCAATTAATTTTTCTTTTATTTCATTTCAAGAAAAATAAAAAATATATATATACCAAACAAAAAATATAAAGAGTGTTTAATTTTTCTATTTGCTGAGCTTAGTAGAGTGTATGGTTAGACATCGCTCCATAAACAAAATCACATACCAAACAAACCCAGAAATAGAACACACTTTCGAGCGGTTGAAAAGTAAATTTTCTAATACCGACTCGGAGGAATCATCTATCAGAGATTCATCCAGCGCTAGTTCTCATTCTAGCGAGACCGAAGAGTCAATAACCATGGCTCTTGAGACAAGAACACTACGGGAGCTCACTGCTCCAAATCTCAATCAACAACCGTTATGTATTACCTTCCCTACACTCGATGAAGGTAATACATTTGAGCTAAAATCTGGGCTCATACATCTCCTGCCATCCTTTCATGGCCTAAGAGGAGAAGATCCGAACAAACACCACTACAACAAAATTGACATTTTGCAACACTTTATTGTGCAACACCTGTTTTTGTGTTACATATAACATTTTGAGGTAAAATAATGCAACACTTTTTATAAGTATTGCATAAACGTTTAAATTATAAAAATATGCAACACTTAATTGTAAGTATTGCATATGCTTAACTTTTATGCAACATTCTATCAAAAAAAAATGTAACATTTATTCGTAAAATATTTCATTAACTAATAACTATAGTTATGAACCGTAAGTATTTACCTATCAAATAAAGTTAGTGTTGCCTTTTTATTATAGTTTACATTGTAATCATGTAACTAACTATAACTATAATAATAATAATAATAGTAATAAAAGTAATAATAATAGTAATAGTAATAATAATAATATAAGTAATAAATTATATCTGAGTTTTTACGATCTGATAAGAATGTTTCTGATCTGATTTGAATGTTTCTGATCCGATATTAATCATTCCGATCTGATATGAATTTTTATGATGTGATCTGATATGATTTGATCTGAATTTTTCCGAAATGATCTAATCTGAATAAAAAATGACACAAAATAAAAAAATGACACAAAATAAAATAAAAAAAAAAGTCACAAAAGAAAAACTAGCCTAATACGTAAAGACTCCAAACTTTATGTGCTCCTTAGTCTGGTACTAAGAATCTTATTCATAGGAGTACCAAATACTACTCCGTAGTCCGTAATACCCTAGCGGCTAACAAAGCGAGAGAGTCAGAGACGAGGGAAGACCGGGCGGCAACCTGAGGCGAAGCTTACCCTACGGACACCTGAGCCGGCCATCTCGCCACCGCCGCCTATCACCGTCCCTTCATTTCCTTCTTCTCCCCCCTGTTTCCAATCAGCTCCCTAGCTCCCACCATATCTTAATCGGTAAATATGCTTCTTATTCTCTGTATTTGATATTTCAATATTTTTTCACCAAAAGTTGAATTTCGTGTATACATTTGTACAGGGTTTCCTGAAATACTTGGAATTTGTGATGGATTTTGAAAAGTTTTAGTTTAGAAGTTCTTAGCTTTATAATGTTTATAAAGTGTTTGACAAAATGTCTCATTGAGGTTTTGAATTTAGGTCGTTCTCTTGAATCCCTCCCTACTCGTGATTAGAAATCCTTTACACATGTACAATGTTTAATAAGATGTTTGAAGCCTTATGTTTTCTTGAAGAATTAGAAGACTAGAAGATCATAGTTGAATTGTTCAAGAGAAAGACTTGACATGCTCTTCTAAAAGTTAGATTTTTTATAATTTACTGCTACTTTATACAGAGTATTATGTCATTAGAAGTTTTATGTTTTCAAAAAGTGAAAATTATATATGCACTATAAATTGGATAGTAATTAACTTTCTATGTTTAATTAGCACATGAAAAGGCATGTAAAAAGTTTATCTTCTAAATATTTGTGAAGAAACACATT